TTTCAGCTAAGATCCATCTAACATTAGCTACAATGTCCCTAGTACCACAACCCCTTCTAAACCCAGACTGGACTTCTGGCAGTTCTCTGCTGATGTGCTGTTCCAGTAGTTTTTGGATAATCTTCAGTAGAATCTTGCTTGCATGTAAAGTCAATGATATTGTTCTATAATTTCCACACTCTGTTGGGCCACCATTCTTTGAAATGGGAACAAATATAGATCTCTTCCAGTCAGTTGGCCAAGTAGTTGTCCTCCAGATTCCTTGGCACAACTTAGTAAGCACATAAGGGCAGCATCTGTGAGCTGAAATATGTCAATTGGTATACCATATATTCCTGGGGCCTTATTTTTGCTATTTCCTTCAGAAAATGTATGTATACATTACATATATATACACATACATACATTACATATATAAGATGTATATAATGTAATTTATATACACTTAAGTATGATATTTATTATATGTGCTGTACTTACAGTAGATGCATACTATAAATACACTATTCCTCTTCCTGTTGTGCTATACTATTGATGTGATTCCAAATCACAGAAACACTTTATTGTTAAAAATTGTTATTCACAGACCACATTTTGTTTACTTTGATATTCTAAAGTCAGGGGACTGCTTCATTTTCAAACTGTTATTCTGCTTCTATCTGTTTTGCTTCATATATTTCAATAATTTTAGCCTATTCAGGATTTGTAATTTTTATTTACTTGTTACTTGTTTTGTCTGATTTCAGAGTTGCACCCTCCACTTTCTGCATATGCATTTACTCATATCGGTACTCATAACTTTGCTTATTGTTGTGTACCTTCTATTTAACCTACATATTATTTAATGTTTACTTTAAAAATCTACATCCCATAGTCTGAAATACTGAATCATCATAGAATTCTTATTAAAAACAAGCATCTCAAAACCCTTAATTCCACAGAAAACTTTTTTCATTATTTGCATCTACTTTACACTTTAGCTTCTTTTTTCCCTGAGAACTGTCTGAGCTTCCTCTGTAGTCGTCTCTTCTTTTGCATAAATCCTGCATCTCTATTTGTCTCCTGTCTAGTGAGGTGATAACTTTCTTAAATTCAGTAGTTTGCAACCCACTCTCATCTGTCGTTTTCCTTTTATAGACAGCAAATAATTTAGCTTTTAATTTCTATCATCTGCATCTTCCTTCTCCCTCCCTCTAACTAATTCTTTCTTCCTGATTTGCTTTCTTATCTTTTTTTTTTGTTTTGCATTGCTGTCATCATATTTTTACCCTAATTCTTCAGAATGTATGCTGAGCAAATAATCTGAAAAACTCGAGTGTGTGAAGAAGAGTAATGTGGCATCACGATTGAAGGAAGACTTCTCATAAACTTGGGTCATGCAGATTATACAATTTTGCTTGGTGAAAGTAGAGAGGATTTGATGCACTTACTAAAGAATATTAAACTTCAGCCTGCAGTGTAAATTACACCTCAACGGAGAGAAAACAAATATTCTTACAACAGGATCAGTAGTAACATCATGATGAATGGAGAAAAGACTGGTGTCTCAGGGGTTTCATTTTGGGTTTTTTGGTTCCGTGATAGACACTTATGGAAGCACCAGTTAATAAATCAGATTGATTGCTGCAGGCAAATTTGTTGACAAGGAAGTGCTGAGAAGTAAGAAGTTCAGTTTAGAGACCAAGGTGCACTTGATCCAAACTATGGGATTTTAAATTGCTGCGGGTACATGAGACAACTGGACAGTGAATAAAGAAGACTGGAGAAGAATTGATGCCTTTAAGTTGTGGTGACTGTGAAGAGTACTGAAAGCACCATGGGCTCCAGGAAACCAAACACATCAGTCTAGGAAGAGGTGCAGCAAGAGTGCTTCTCAGAGGCTGACAGGCGACTTATTTTTTTTTTTTTCTCACAAACTTCTGGCATATTTTCAGAGAGACTCATCCTTGGAAAAGGGTATAATGCTTTTAAAAGCAACAAAGGAAGAAACTCAAGGAAATGGATTGACCCAGTGACAAAGTCTTGGCTCAGACATGGGTGGAAATTGTGAGGGACAAGCAGGATTCGACATTTTCCCTTATTGTACGTAGGGTCACTATGATTTGGAGTTGACTTGGTGGCCACTAACAACATCATAATTCTTCTCTTTATTTTTTGTTTGGTTTTATTTCCTATGAAAAGAAATAAATCTTTAAAAGGAAATAAGTGAGATGCCTCTCAAACATTAGCAAATGAGAGTATAAATGTGTGCTTTTGCCGTGCTGCAAATCCCACTATGGTTCATTATAATAGGGGCCGTCTCCCTTAGGCCAAACGCACAAGCTATAGCTCTACACCATACTTGCTACAGTTGGGGTAAAACCTCTTTGGTGACAACAATTTGCTCTTGATTAAGAAGACATTGGAACTTTTTATCTTCTACTTCTGAATGTAGAAAGGTACATTTCTTATCCTCCACCCACCAGGGAGCAAAGAAGAAGCAACATACAGTATTAATGTTATTCACATATTGTTTCTTGTGTTTACTAGCTTATTTTTAAGTCTTGGAAAGAGAAGATAGAAAATCAGCATTATTATGTGCAAAAATACGCGTTCTTGTTCTATTTCCTTTCAGGGGCTAATGGAAGAAAACAAAGTTCAGATCACTGTTTTAAATCCTAAGTCTGTCACCATGGGCCAACTATATGGACAGTTTGATTTAGTGTCCCACGAGTGGTCTGACGGCATCCTGGCTGTCAGTTTTAGAGCATTTGCTTCTTCAACTGTAAGTATCCTATTGCCCGTGCATTTCAAACCAGTTCCTTCTAACCAATTTGGGATTTTCTTTTTTCCAGTTCAAACACTTGAATAATACGTATTTATAGTTAAATATATTTCTTTAAAACAGACGTTTGGATAGTCTTGCCGTGCTTTTCTGAAGAACATTGTCATCACCTATAAAGATGCCGAAGACCATTTTTACATTTCCTTTGAAGTTTTACAGTACAGTGGGCCAGGGGAAAAAGATGAAAAGAATAAAATGATAAGAATACATCATTGTAGAACTGTTAATGTTATATAGATTTTCATGTGACTGCTGCAGTGGGCTCTAGTGGGCCAGGAAGTATGAGGATGGCACAGGATAGAGCAGGGTTCAGATCTGCTGTTCATATAGTCGCTCTGAGTTGTAGTCAATTTGATGACACCTAGCAACAACATGCTACTGTGAGGCAGTTCAAACTGAGATGCATGTATATATGTTGTATGAATGCAATTTTAAGTAGAGTCTAATAAGCTGAACTAGAATTATTGTCCTCAATATTGTATGTACAATATTTTAACCCATGTAACATGTATTTGAGTTCAGAAACATTGATTAAAATGATAATACTTTCATGTATGTATGAATACGTAGTCTTCACTTTTGTGTGTTGTTGTGTACTGCAGAGTTGGAACTGACCCATAGTTGGCCCTCTGATGGGTTTTCAGAGGTAGTAATCGTATGGTAGGAGATTGCTTATCCTCCTGTGGAGCAGCTGGTGGCCTGGAACTGTGGACCTTTGGGATTGCAGCACAGCTTCTTGCCACTAGGCCATCAGTGCTTCCTTCACTAGTGACAGTATATACACCTGCACTTTATTTAAGGGGACCTTTACTTCACTATGGGTGAAAATAATTTTCAGGAACTGTAATTTTAAATTTTGAGATGTTATTGTTGAATGCTTTCCTGCATTATTCCTTCCACATGTTTGCACTTTATTTACTGTGTCTATAAAACAGACTCCAGATAGAAAGTGGTTAATTTTTGATGGACCAGTAGATGCAGTATGGATTGAGAATATGAACACAGTCCTGGATGACAACAAAAAGCTGTGTCTCATGAGCGGGGAAATTATTCAAATGTCACCACAGATGAATCTTATTTTTGAACCAATGGATTTAGAAGTTGCTTCTCCTGCCACTGTAAGTTCTCAATTTAGACATCAAGCTAATACATTGTGAAATTTTATAGGTGTGTTTATTTACTTAGTAACTTTGATTTTAAATGAGACATATTGATAGAATTTACAAGGGATTCTAAGAGATTAGATATGTCTGTTGACATACGCTGACACATGTTATAGTCAGAAATGTTTTTCTCTATCTTTATGACCATCTGGTAGATTATACACAAGCATTTAGACCCTCATAATGTGTTAAAATTGGGCTCTTATTTCCCAAGCATGTCTTTCAGGTTGTAAGCAACGCATACTAAGTCATATTTCTTTTATTTTTTGGTGTGGGTTTTTTCCCTTCATTTTATTGCGGTTTTATTGTTTCCTTTCTTTTTTTAAAAATTTATTATTAATTTCAATGAAAATTTAGAGACTTTGGATTTCCATTCATTCATTGTTGCACTTGTCATATTTCTTTTATAAGGATTAGCTTGATGATAAACAATTGCCATTTTTCTAGGTGTCCAGATGTGGCATGATTTATATGGAGCCTCACATGTTAGGATGGAGACCACTTATGTTGTCTTGGATAAATATTTTACCTCCTGAAGTTACTACTATTCAGAAGGAGTTTTTAGTAGGTTTATTTGACAGAATGATACCTGTTTCTGTGGAATTTATTAGAAAACATACAAAGGTAAGAAGAATGTAACTTTTAAGATTGGAAATAAATTTAAATTAACAAAATATATACATTTTAATAACTGTGTTTATTGGGGGTTTTTAAATACTAGTTTATTTACGAAGTTTGAATACATTGCTTTTCTCACCGAATCATTCCCATTTCCTTCATACTCACCCCAATTAAACTGTATAACTCTGTGATTATCACCCTCCTGTCCAACCTCACCATATGCAAGTTTTAATTGGCTTGATGAAAACTTTTTTCTTAAAGTGCTTTGTTGTTGTTTTTATGGAGATTTTAATGAAAGTGTATAAACAACTTGTATTTCCATTCATTCATTGTTGCACGTTTTCCTCCCTGCTTCCATAATTTGCTTTTGTCTTTGGGAAAAGAGTTCTTTCATTGCTATGCAGTCCCTCTTCCCCCAGGACTATTTTACTATGCAGCTCTTATTCCTCACTCTTTTCATGCCTATAATCCGGAATCACATATTCCTTTTATACAGTTCTCTCCTTTGTCTGCTTCAATGCTCTGTACTTTATTTATTCCCTCTTTTCTTAGTTACCCCCAACCCCCATGAGTCCTATTTTATAACAGTGGTATTATACAGTATTTGTCTTTTTGTTACTGAGATATTTCACTGAGCATAACGTCCTCTATGGTCGCCCATTTTGTAGAATATTTTATTACTTCCCTTTTCCAGTGCTGCATAACATTCCATTGTGTGAATATACCACAGCTTCTCTGTCCATTTGTTTGTTGGTGGGCACTTAGGTTGTTTCCAACTCTTTGCTATTGTGAACAAAGCTGTAATAAACATGGGTGTGCATATATCTGCTTGAGTGGCAGTTCTGATTTCTTCAGGGTATATTCCCAGTAGTGGAATTGCTGTGTCAAATGGTATTTCTATTGGCAACTTTTTGAGAAAGCACCATACTGCCTTCCATAGTGGCTGCACCATTTTACACTGCCACCAACAGTGAATAAGGGTTCCAGTTTCTCCACACCTCAACCAGCATTTGTTGTTTGTTGTTCTCTTAAATTTTTATATTCTTACTGGAATGAGATTGTATCTCTTAGTTGTTTTGATTTGAATCTCTCTTAGGAATAGAGATTTTGAACAAAAGGTGAAAAATGTTTTAATTAGGCTAATTATTTTCCTTAACTTCTTGATTTCTTCCTTTAGCTTTGGCTTCTTGGCATTGTCGTGAAATATTCAGAGTTTCTTCTGATATCCTTCTTGGTCTTTTTCTTCTATCTTTGTAATGACTTTTTGCATTCTTCATGAATGATAGTCTTGATGTTCTCCCACAGCTGATATGGTCTTTGCTCATGATTACTCAGGGCTTCAAACCTGTTCCTGAGATGATGATCTTTAAATTCTGGAGGAAGGAAATTATGCAATAATGTATGAATTTTTTTTTTTTACAGTGAACTTGGGTTGGGGTAGGGAGGAAAGTGTGCAGCAATGAATGAATGAACAAAACAACTTTTCTGTAACATTTCATTAAATCACAATAAAAAAATTTTAAAAATTCTGGTGGGATAGACTTAAGATCAACTTTGGGTCTTGTGTATTTTATTTTCTTTCTCTTCAGTATGAACTTGCATATGAGTAATTGGTCCACAGCCAGCACCTTGCTTAGTTTTCACAGCTGATATTGAGCTTCTCCGGTAATTTTTTGTGAATGTAGTCAATCTATTTCTTATAATCTGTGTTTGCAATGAATAGGTCATTGATTGTACAGAATTCTATCTTCTGTCTCCAGTCTCATTTCTGTCACCAAGTCTATGATTTCCAAACAGGAGATCTTAAAAGGCGGTATGGGAAGACAAAAGAAAGGATTATCATGAAATCTGCAAGGAACTGGAGTCAGAAAATCAAAAGGGACTAATTCGCTTGACATTTCTTAAGCTGAAGGAACTGAAGAACAAATTCAAGCCTTGAGTTACAGTACTTAAGGATGCTGAAGGCAGAATGTTAAATGACCCAGGAAGCATCAAAAGAAGAGGGAAGGAACACACAGAGACACTATACAAAAAAGAATTGGCTAACACAGAAGAGCCTATGGTGATGAAGGAGGAAAGTCAAGCTATTTTGTACGTATTTGGCATAAAACAAGGCCCCAGGAATTGACAGAATACCAACTGACATATTTCAGTAAACAGATGCTACCCTGGACACACACGCTCACCAGGTTATGCCAAGAAATCGAGAAGAAAACTACAAGGTCAACTGAGTGGAAGAGATCTATATTTATTCCCATTCCAAAAAAAAAAGGTGACCTTACAGAGTGTGGAAATTATCAAACAATATCACTAATATCATCCACAATCAAGATACTGCTGAAGATTATCCAGAAACAACTGGAACAATATATCAGCTGAGAACTGCTAGGTGTGCAAGCTGGATTTAGAAGAGGCAGTGACACTAGGAACATCAGAGCCAGTGTTAGATGTATCTTGGCTGAAAGCAGAGAGTACCAGAGGAATGTCTAAGTATGTTAAGAAGGGGGGAAAATCACCATCAAGTCCACAGTTAATTTTTTTCTGTGTACATTGTATTTTATTCATTTACTTAATGGTGTATTTTTGAGAAGTTTGTTTTCTGAGACACCTCTGTGAATCCTCAAACCTTGTTGAAAATGAAACCTTTGAATTGTCATCATAAAGTAAACTGTGTTTTTTTTGTTTGTTTTAGTTGTTGGAAAATGTAGACATTAATCTCACAGGAGATTGTCCATCCTTCTCCTGCGGAGCAGGTGGTGGACTTAAACTGCAACCTTCAGGCTTCCAGTGCAACTTCTTGCTATTAGGCCACCAGAGCGCTCTTCTATTTATAGTAATGTTGTTGTTGTTGGCTGCTGTTAAGTTGAGCACGACTCATAGTGACCCTATGAACAAAAAGCCTGAAGCCTTTATCAAAGTTCATGGAGTTTCCAGAGGCATATTGTTTAGGAAGTGGCTGCCACTCCTGCTTCTAATAATAAGGATGTATAATCAGTGTCATAGCAGTAGAATCCCAGCTGTCATTTCTGCCTGCTTTCACTGGGATTGTGACTGTCTTTGAATTTAATAATTTCTGATAGTCTAAGAGTCTATTTTAAGACAACTATTTTTTTACAAATCAATTATGAAGCAGTTACTAAATAAGGTTGGAGAAGAGCTACCCAGAAAAAAATTATGACTTGCTGTATGATATGGTTATAGGCCAGGTTATATGTTATTTTACTTGTTCTGAAACTTGCCAGAGGAAACTAAAACCCCCCTAAAGTGTGACTGTTACGACTCTTTAGCAGTATTTGTGCTTGCATTGAAGCTTGGCAATGCAGTCTGTGGGAATAACTTTGCCAGGTACTACTGTAGCTTATAAGTATGTTCAAAACTTCATTTTTATTTATTTATCAATTTAAATGAATTACTTTTCTTCTCTGCAAGGATTTTTTCAGTTTTTTTCTTTACAAAATTAATGTAAGCCAGAATCTGTGTCTTTAATTAAATTAACCAAATTGGTTGTTTTTTAATATTGTAACTCATCATAAAAGAATGGTACAGGAATACTGATTGCCCAGATGTCATGTTCAGTGCTTCCATGTTCTAAGAAAGGAAATTACTGTGCACCTTACTTTTCTTACTTTAAAACTAAAATTATTGTAATAGTGACTTTTCTTATAAACTATGAGCTTAAATTAAATGAATTCAGTAATACTGGGCTAAAACCTCTCCTGCTGCCAGGTTGGTTCTGACTCATAGCAACTCTAAAGGACAAAATAGCACTTCCAGAGAGGGCTTATGATGTATTAAATCTTTACACAGGCAACCTACCCTCTCTTTCTTCTATAGAGACTGTTGAGTTTGAACCACTGACCTCTGAGTGTGCAGTCCAGTACTTAATCCTTTATTCCAACACTCTTTTCAGCTAATGCTGCTATTTAAAAAAAAATAACCATTTAAAACTAATCTGAATTATAAAAGGGAACTCTGATGGTGTAGTCTGGAGCAAGTTACACTGCTTACCAAAGAACACATTTCCAGCAGTTCAAATCCCGCGGCAGCTCCAAAGTGGAAAAAGAGGTCTCCTCCCTTTATGATCCACAGCCTTGGAGATCAGAGGGAGGGTGGTGATGAGTTGCAGCTGATTCTATGGCAGTGAGTGATATTTGAGTGAGTATTATATACTTTTATTTCTCATTTTTCAGGAATTATCCCCTACTTCAAATACAAACTTAGTCCAATCCTTAATGAATCTAATAGACTGCTTTATGGATGAATTTGCTGATGAAAGCAAAGTAAGAGAGAGAAATGATCGAGAAACTTACTCTTTACTTGAGGTAAGGTTCATTTACCTTTGTATTTTGACAGATAACTACTTACCATTTGCTCTAAAACTCCCTAATTAATGAACCTGAAATTGGAGGCTGGACAATAGATAGTAAATAAACAGTAAGACAAAAGCTACAGCCAACAAACTAGATTCTGTGGGGAAGTTGCTGGTCTGTCATTCCACTGGATCCTAGGATGTGAGTGGCAGAAGTTACTGAATGTCAAAACATCAATGACAGTTTTAGACAAAATTAACCTCCCCTCAGGTCTCTAAATAATAAGTTTATTGTTTTTCTACATTTTTTCCTTTCCTCGTGGGATGTAATTTTTTAAAAGCATATTTATATTACTGATGTACATTAAGGTCCATGACGCTGACTACAACTCATATCCACTCTCAGAACAGCAGATCCGATCCTTACTCTATACTGCAGCATCCTCACAAGCTGGTTTGGTCAAGCCCGCTGTTACGGTTGCTGTGCTAGTACGTCTTGTTGAGGGTTTTTCCTCTTTCTCTGACCCTCCACCTTGCCCAGTAGGGTGTCTTTATTCAAAGACTGAACCTTTCTGACAGTGTGCCCAAAGTGTGTGAGACAGGGTTTCACTGTTCTTGTCTATAAGCACCCTGGTTGCATTCCTCCGAAACAGACTTGACTGCCCTTTTGGCAGGTGCAGAGGATATTATTACAGTCTAATATTCATTACATAAATATGAATATATAAACCAGTTACATAATAAGAATCCCTGGCAAATCAATGGTAAAGTACTTAGCCACTCATTGCAAGATCTGTGGTTTGAACCCACCAATGACCACATGGGAGTAAAGGCCTGGCAATCTGGTACTAGAGTGATGATCACAGCCCAGGAAGTAGTACAGGCAGTACTGTTCTGCCTCGGAGTGTCTCCATGAGTCAGAAATGACTTGATGACATACACCAACAATTATATAGAAGTGACATAATTACTATAACTGTGTTGTTATTAAGATATATTTGTATCATAGAAATCAAGAGAATATATCTTTAAACAGATTTTTGAAATAGCAATTGAAATTACAAGAACACTTGTGTGTTCTTTAATTCTTTAGTAAAATAATTTCAACTAATGGCTCTGCTATTAATACAGTCAATGAATACTCTTAGAGCCTTCAGTTGTGAAATTTTTTTTTTAATTAGTATTCAGTAGTTTCCAGGGAGAAAGAGTTTGTGAATAATCTCAAATGAGTGAATAGGGTCAAAGTAGAATCTAGGACTTTTAAGCATTTAGTCAAGGTTCTCTTTGCCATTTGAAAACAGATTTGATTTTAAGACAAGCAAATGTATTTTCTCCTATATCAGTGGATCTCCTTGTCTAAACTCTTCTTCCTGAGTTTGATAAGAAGCAAACAAGTACTTTTTGTAGTCAAATATGGTTGTACTTAAGAAATCAATACAGGTAGGTGAAAGAATATAAATTTGTTCTGCTTTCAAATAAAGCACTGTATCAAAATGTGTTACATTAAAATATGTGTGTATGTTGTGTGTTGACTGGAAATCCAATGGGAAGTTCTTTCTTTTGTATTGCTATGAATTGGGATTTGTTATTTTTTGTTTGTTTGGTCTCATTAAATTTACTAAACTATGTTTTTATAGCTTAATGAAAAGTACCACAGCGAACTCTTTAATGTCAAGCTCCTGCTGTAAATTGAAAATATCAAGTGATTTACTAGATGAATAATTATAAGGTTTTCAGTGTTGCCAGCATTTATACTTTGCATCATATTGTCTTTTCTGACATATTTTATTAGATTAAATTTGAAAAAATAATTTTTTTCAAAATCCTGAGATAACTGCTTGTTTTATATTAACATATATTTCCTTTCAGATAAGATAATTTTTCAGATCATATTAAGAGTCAGGGAGAGATTACAACTATTCTCTAGTGCATTGTTTCCTTTTCTTATTTCTCCATTACAGGGCATTTTTTTGTTTTCATTGATCTGGTCTGTTGGTGCTTCCTGTAAAGATGATGATCGGTTGAAATTTAGTAAGATTCTTCGAGAACTAATGGAAGGTCCAATTTCAGATTTAACTCGAACGAGGTTTAAACTCCTGAGTGGTGCCGATCAAGTGCCTTGTAAGGCACTAACTGTGCCATTTCCTGAGAAAGGAACCGTTTATGATTATCAATTTATTACTGAGGTAAGATTTCTGAGGGAAGAACTTGATCTGCCAACCTTTCACAGTCTCTTCTGATAATCACTCAGCTTGTTATGAAGCTAGGCCTCCTTCTTCATTACTGCTTACTTTTTTTTTTTTAAATTGCCTTTTTTATTTTCAAAAAATTATAGGGATGCTTACTTTAAGACATAGCCTAGAATAGAGGAAACATACTTATTTTGAAGACAGATTTGAGGCCTAGTATAGATATTTTTTTGTTGTGTCATCTTGGACAAATTATTACATTTCTCTGAGGCTCAGTTTCCTCATTATTAAAATCTAATAATAGTGACACCTCCTGGGCAATTTTCCTCAATCTAGTCTAGTTATCAGACACATAATGTTCAAAGATAACTTGGAGATTCATGCTAAGCATTATGATGTTATCGACAGTAAGAAGTCCTGCAGGAAATCGCTGACTTAATGTTAATTCAGCTTTTCCCAAACTGGTTGGATAATAAACCTTGGTTAGTGTTTATTTGCATGTTTGCTTTTGTACAACAACTCTCATAAGTTTTGTACTGGAAGAGAGTTTAGGAATATATATTAACTTTGTTTTTATTTGTTGTGGTGGTGGTGGTGTACTGTAGAGTTGGAACTGACCCATAGTTGACCGCCAGTGGGTTTTCAGAGACAGTTAATCGCAAGGCAAGAGATTGTCCATCCTTCTCCCGTGGAGCAGCTTGTGGCCTTGAACTGCATGCCTTCGGGATTGCAATGCAGCTTCTTGCCAGTAGGCCACCATATATAGAAATTTAAATAAAATTGAGATAACACTATATTCCTTCTTTTTTTAAAAAAAAAACAACTCAGCGAAAAGGACACGTTCCTATTTCATAAATGTTTATGATGGGCCAGAGTCTAATCAAATAGCTTCTTATTCTTGGATATATGAACTTTGTTTTTACTTGTATACTTTTATAAATATTGCTTTGTGTGTTGTTCTGTACATATCTGACCATTTCCTTAAAAGAAATGTCTAAACCAAGCAATTACTATATCAATTTTCTAATTTATTTACCTGTTGATATATATTATCCAGTCTGTGTTAAAGGGCGTTCTTCACCCTATCAACACTGTATCTTACCTTTTAATCTCTATTAATTTTATCTTAAATTACGAGTAGTTGTTGTGTGCCATTGAGTTAGAACCAACCCGTAGCTGAACCTCCACTGGATTTTCCCAGGCGGTTAAGCCAGTCAGGAGGAGATTGCCCATCCTTCTCCCATGCAGCACCTGGTTAATGTGAACCATAAGCCTTTGGAATTGCAGTGAAGCTATTTACCACTATTGTACATATTCAGAACACTTTAAAATTTACTTAACTTTTCCATAACTATTTTATTTCATTTCCCTAATACCTCAGTGATATTGAAATGATGGAATTATTTTGCGGATTTTTCTGTTGTGAAAGTTGAGGCATAGATACTGTGTAGTTTCCCCTATATTCTAGTCTCTAAATGGCTGTACATTCTAGAGTTTCTGAATCTTGATATTTTGTTCCAGATTTTTTTTTTTCAGTGTAAGCTTCAGATTGACATACATTCAGAAAGTCTTTATCATAGGTGTATGGCTTGTGCTAGATATTAGAAAACTGAACTTAGAAAAAAATAAAGCATGTCAGTGAATTCATTACCTCTTAAGAGAGCCATGCCACATTCTAGGTAAAGGGAATAAAGTTGGGTTTCAGAACACATGGTAATGTGAAGAAGGAAGATGGTCTCAATTCTGATGAGCTATCGATTGCCATAAAACTGAATTATTCTTTCGGCTTTCGGTTCGGAGGAGGCCTCAGTGCAACTTTCTTCGGTCGTCCCGCATCCGGGTTCATCCGACACCAGCCGCCTCCGACATGCCGCCCAAGTTCGACCCCAATGAGATTAAAGTCGTGTACCTGAGGTGTACCGGTGGGGACGTCGGTGCCACTTCCGCTCTGGCCCCCAAGATCGGCCCCCTGGGTCTGTCTCCAAAAAAGGTTGGTGATGACATTGCCAAGGCCACCGGTGACTGGAAGGGACTAAGGATTACAGTGAAACTGACCATTCAGAACAGAGAAGCCCAGATTGAAGTGGTGCCTTCTGCCTCTGCCCTGAACATCAAAGCTTAGGAACCACCCAGAGACAGAAAGAAGCAGAAAAATATTAAGCACAGTGGAAATATCACTTTTGATGAGATTGCTGGCATTGCCCGGCAGATGCGACACCGGTCTTTAGCCAGAGAACTCTCTGGAACTACTATTAAAGAGATCCTGGGAACTGCCCAATCTGTGGGCTGCAATGTTGATGGCCGTCACCCTCATGACATCATAGAAGACATCAACAGTGGTGCTGTGGAATGCCCAGCTAGCTAAGGAACTACAGATGAAAATATTTCAATAAAGGATTATTTGTTAACCAAAAAAGAAAAAAAAGAATTATTACTTTATTTTTAGTAAGAATGGAAGGGGCAGTGGTATTTTTCAAAGAAGAAAGTGTTAACATGGTCTTTTAATTTTTTTTTGTTACAAAAATGGCCATAGAAAATTATTTTAGTTTTCTGTTGGATAAGAAACTGCTTTGGTTTTGTTGTATATGGGGTGTTGTGTTGCTAACCAACAGACCCACATCTCTAGCAGCTTGAATCAATCAGCAACTCCTTGGAGGAAGAACGGTGAAAGGGCTCCTTCTGTTAAGATGTATAGCTTTGAAACCATAATAGAGTCACTATGAGTTGGAATCAACTAGATAGCAGTGAGTTTGAGTTTTTTGAGTTGGGTGATAACATTCAGCAAAATGTTAATTCATAATAATGATTTTATCTTGAGAAATTTTACCTGAAACAATAGCTAATGCTAGAAATACATTATATAAGTCAAACAATACCCAGTTAATGTTCTAGGGAGAAAATAATGTGTTCTTCATAATAGTCTATGTGTTTCCTACTGCCAAGGGGGCCCTTTAGAGTAGTGAGAGAAGACATTCACCCTGAAACCCACAGCGTCCCTTTTCAGCAGGAAGTAGCTAAGAGAATACGCCATCCC